CATTACCAGCAAAGGCTTTTGTACGAAGTATTAAATACATTTCAGTAAGCGTGTTCAATACATTTTCCCTGTGTAATTCCATTTTATTACACATAACTTAATTTCTGAACGTATTTGTTTTGTTTTCTTTGTATGGATGGACAACTTGGTTTGTTACCGACATCTGGTGAAAATTTCATGTCAACAGCACCTTCAGAAATATATTTACTGAGAAAAATAGTGACGTGGTCAATACTTATTTTACCCGCTGTATATATATACACAGTGTCTTTGAAAGAGCACATGCTGCATTATTTTATCAAAAACGCAGTAAAAGCAGTAGTATTATTACAGTTTACGGTGTTCAATTTTAATGTATTTTAAAATGTAATTTATTCTGGTGATGGCAAAGTTGAATTTTCAGCAGCCATTACTCCAGTCTTCAGTGTCACATGATCCTAATATGCTGATTTGGTGTTGCTTAATATTTTTGTAAAAATCGTGAAATATTTTTTTCTTGATTCTTTGATTAAAAGATTAAAGTCTTTACTGTCACTTTTGATCAATTTAATGCATCCTTGCTTATTTATTGGAAATTAACTTCATTAACTGATCGGTGTATAATGTAATTCATTTAATTACATTTTTAATCGAATGACTCTTCTTTTTAACTTACGAAACACAGCAATCACAACAGGGCAGTTTTATGTAAAACTAAAATTCAGCTAAAAGTTGTACAATTAATAATGCAAATACAAGGAGTATATTATTTAAAAGCACTTGTTTTGCATTGATTTTTTGAGGGTTTAAATTACTCCCAGTGCACCTAGGCCATGTTCAAATATAGTTCACATAAACCTGTGACCCTCCAGAGAGCTGTAGTGATGTGTTAAAGATGCGGTTCACTTACACAGTGCATATGTGAGCCAGTCGGGCTGGTCGTAGTGAACTATAGCCACACATAGTGTGTTCAGTCCCACTATACACAGAACAGTCCAGTAGAAGCTCTGGGCCTTCACCATACGGCGGATGAAGAAGCGAAACCTCTTCTCTTTTCTGCGAAAGTATGAAGAGCTCTCGTTCTTGCTGCTCTTCACACTTGTACGGGTGAATGGAGAGCCCTGGGGAGCTGCGGAGAGAGAGACTGCTTCAGATGTTCACAAAAGCTCACAGATGATGGAGAGGAGAAGAGAGGAGAGGGAGTCAACACAGACATTCTGATTTGTTAACATCGTCTTTATCCATCTTTCCACTCTCTCAATCTCCTCTTTTATTTTGGTCATTATTCTTTATGTTTCATGAAAAAAAAAAAAAAAACATCCACAGATGCAAGTTTTATGACACTTTGCCTCTGGTTTTTAATCTGCTTTTTATTTTCCATCCTGATTTTGGGAGAAAATCCACCGTGAGTTCAAAGGTCACAGGCGTTGGGCCTGGATCTTACCGACTGATGGGATGTCAGTGAAGTGGTCTTCTCCTTCCTCTGCATTGATGAGGTCATTTTTGCTCTTTTTGGCTCTCTTCAATACTAAACATGTTGGAAAGTGAATAGTAAATAAACAGTAGTAGTATAAAATATAATAATAAATTCATAAAGAATATAGTAAATTTAAAAAGTACATGTTTTTATTCATTATTAGTAGTAGTAATTAAGACTCATGCTCTAATAATGAACAAATACAATAATTTATTTGTCAATGGTTACCTGGGTTGTTGCATTTCCTCTTGTACCAGGCACCATCCTCCTTCTCCTCTGCACTTTTATCTTCTTCAGCAAGCATTACTTCCTCTGAAACAAAGATATTTCACTACTTACACTATGTGGTCGGTAGGTAGTTCTATGTGGTTGCTAGGGTGTTCTGGGTGGTTGCACAGGAGAAGAGACAGACAAAAGCAACCACTGTAAGGCTTTATTGTAACCTGATGCCACACACAGTAATCACTTCTGTCACTGCAGATCTGACAAACATCCAGCAGGAGGCAGGGACAGCAGTGAGCACTGTATCGCCCAACACATTAACGTTTTAAACAATGCAGTGAATATCTAACTGACTAGAATGGCTGTAGCAAGATACATGAAGAAGTCAAAGCACCTGTAAGCATTTAATTCCATCATGAATCTATGGTGTTAAACATCAAAGCTGGGCCACCATGGAAAAGTCTGGGAAATCACCTCTCTAAGCCAAATAAATCCCCATGGAAGAGCCCTAGTGGGCTTCTGGGAAACAAAACGGAGGATACTTCATGCTGTGACAGAGCTAATTAACCCCTGTGCTGATGGAGGATCAGTAGTTTTACAAGAAACTCTGCCACCTTAAGAGAAAATACAGTATTAGGATGAGAGGTAGAATTATAAAAGACCAACAACATCAACATTTAAAGCCAAAACATTCCTTTAGGGAAACTATTTCATTCCTTTTTTCAGATTTATTCTTGTTATGATTATTTGTTGCAACATTCTAAGGTTTCACACATCCTGCATGTGCATCTACATGGAAAATCGAGGGCTTTGTCCGTTGGGTATTTCAATTAATAATAGCCATTAATTGTAAAATGGTTGCTGAAAGTGTCACTGAATATTATTACATTACATCATTATGAAATCTAATGTACATGAGGACGAACATCAAATTTACATCCGAATGGTCATGAATGTACACAAAACTGTAGACTGCCCAAACCAAAAGTGTAGCTTAAAAATTTGAATCATCTGGATTCAGTCAGATTTATTGAATGGAAAGTATTTGTGTGCCTGGCACTGCATGTGGAAAATCATCACGTTTGACATAGTTCAAACAATGGCTGGGAAATGTGTTCCATTATTTTATATTGCATCATAAAAGCCTATATTTCAAAATAGTGTATTCATTACCAACACAGCTTTCAAATGCATGGGTTCAATGGTGTTATTCTCATGAACTTCTATTCATCAAAGAACTCTGAAAAAATGTTTGGTAGAATAATAATTTTCAACACTGATAATAAGAAATGTTTCTTGAACATCAAATCAACATATTAAAATGATTTCTGAATAATTATGTGACACTGAAGACCAGGGTAATGTCTGCTGAAAATTCAGCCTTGCTATCAAAGGAATTAATTTAAAATATATTAAAACAGAAAACAGTTATTACAAATTGCAATAATATTTCACAATATTGCTATCTTTACTGTACATTTGTTCTAATAAATGCAGCCTTGGTGAGCAAAAGAGACCTCTGATTTTCTGTTGATTTTGGCAAGTGAGACACATTACAAAAGAAAATTCAGTTTAGTTATAATAATAATTTTACTTTCTGTGCAGTTTTAGGAACACAGTATCACGCTGTTCACACAGTACAAATACTGCAATCTAACTATATTAGCATTAATATTAATGCATGGAGTATGGAGTAACACAACCGGTGAAAATCCTGAGAAAATTACTATTACTAAACTGGCCCCAGATCAGTGCAAATCCACAGCTATGGAAAGCACCAACAAACAGAGTCCTGGCTGATGAAAGAGCTGTTACAGGCAGTCATGGGAAGACTGAGGGTATGAACCAGCTGGTGGAGTGAGTGGAAGGCTATATGTGGTTGCCATGGAGAGAGGAAGTGCTGAGCAACAGACAGGCACAGATACATCAGCTCCCATCGCGGCCGAGAAGACATCCGGGAAGCGAGTGAGATAAACAATCATGGGAGAAAAAGCACGAGGTGACAGAACACTCTGTAGGGAACAGACCAAGGCCTTCTGGTGGTTGCAATGTAGATAATTCTCAGGTGTAAGTCTTGAAAAATGCATGAACATCTCTGGATTTGAAAATGGGTTCTGTGGAGATATTACATGTCAAGTGTTAATGAAGATATTGTTCACTTGAGAGACTGACCTGCTTTGCAGATCCACTCCAAGTAGCCGGTCAGCTCCCTCTCGATCTGCTGTTGTCTGCGAAGCTTCAGGAACTCCTGCCTTTTCTCCACACGCTCTCGCTCCTTTGCAAACTCCCTGTTTGTACAAATACACATAAACACACATCCATGAACACACTGTACTGCACAGAGGCATCAGGGGAGCCCTGCTCTATGGCACAGGTCATGTGTATAAGAGCATGCGTGCATCTAGTGATGCATCTACAAAAGCAAATACACCCATTGATAAAACCATAAGGTACGTGGTTGTAAAGCAAAAGTGAATGAGATAAATGCACCAAAATGAAACGTTAGAAGAAAAAGCAAGTACAAGGTGTGGCATCCACATTTGCAAGAGCAGTAGAAAAATCAATGTTTTAGAATCAATAGAAAACAACGGCTAAAAGTCTACAGTTTATGGCTCACTTAAAGCTGAAGTGTGCAATTTCTTTTTAATTGTTAAAATTCCTTCTCCTATCCTAACTTAATATACAGAGTCAGATAGTTAAGCCATTCTTATACTCACTTTCAAATATAATTGCAGGATGATGCATTACGTTGACTAACTATTGAAGTCTATCTAGATCTATAGGTTTGTAGATTTCATTAGATCTGCTTAAAAAAGACCCATTAATCCTTGTTTTCAGCATCATTACCAGCATATAGTATAAAACGTGCAATGACAAGCAATAAAACAATTTAAATATATGGCTTAAAATGCCCACAAATTGTAGAAATAATATATTTCAAAATATTGTGTTCATTACTATCATAGCGTTCAAATGCGTGGGTTCAGTGGGATTTTTATTTTAAAGAAATGACTACTTTTGTTCAGCGAGGATGGATTAAATTGACCAAAAGTGAGAGTAAAGACATTGATAATGTTACAAAAATGTTTTCAAATAAATGGCATTCTCATGAACTTCTATTAAAAAAAAATTATCATCTTCCACAAAAATATTAAGCAGAATAACCATTTTTAACACTGATAATAAGAAATGTTTCTTCAACATCAAATCAACATTAGAATGTGACACTGAAGATTGGGGTAAAATTCAGCCTTGCCATCACAGGAATTCATTTAAAATATATTAAAATAGAAAATTATTAGATAATAGTATTATATAATAATATTGTATATTATTATATATGCTACAGTTTAATACTATACAGTGCTGTTCAAAAGTTTGGTGTCAGAAAATGAATGTTTTCTATTTTAAAACATTAAAATATATTTTAACAATGTAGAAGTCTTTACTGTGACTTTTGATCAACTTAATGCACCTTTGCCGAATTAAAAATTATTAATTTCTTGCACCAAAAAATCTTACTGACCCCAAACCTTTGAGCATATATAATATTATATATTATATTGTGTATGTTTTTGTATATTTGTGTATATTTTTTTTATACACAATATAATAAATACCATCATCATTAGTTAAAACTAAAACAATTCTAATTGAAGATGATAATGGTGCACTTCAGCTTTAAGGACACAAAATAGTTGAATGGACTAATGCAAAATGGTTGATTAACTTCCTCAAGAGACGTTACAGCCTCACAAGGAAACAGAGGTCAATCCATTATTCTCAGTAATGCACCTACAGGGCTAGACAGTTTCTCTCATCTAATCTAATTTTCACCCCACAGTATGACAAAACTGTGTAGTGACACCTTGATTAGATATTTAGCTCATAGGTCGAAAAAAGTTGCATTTACTCACAAATGGCCATGCTTTGCCTGTGAGAGGCATATTTTACCCCGACTTGGTTATTAAATGAGTCCCATTCATTTTCATAAGCATTATAGCTTTCTCTGCAACATGATTATGTAAGAGCACATAAGGGAAAAAATGCACTGTTTGTGCCCCCTCACAACCTGCCATCTGTTATCATGCCGATTAGAGGACAGCGTGATGATTGACCACCATTACTGTTTAACAGGTGCGCAGAGCGTACAGAAAGGAGGTGAAAAAGAGCTATAAATGCAAAGAACAAAGAAAGAAGAAAACAAAAGTAGGGTGGACAGAATGTGAGGGATGCAATGCAAATGTTACCCGAGAATGTGATCGGAGCAGGAAGGGAATGTGAACAGAAAAAATCAAAGGAGAAAATAAAATAGGAAAGCAGTACAAGACAGAAAAGAGAGTAAATATTACATTAGACAATGCTGTATGAGAATAACTGAAAAAAAAAATTTAACTGACGTTTTTGGTGGTATATCTAGTGGATTAGCATATCCTGCAAAAAACGTCCATAAATAACTGCAAATCCTAAATAATAAATAAACTGGTGTAGAAACAATTTTTACTCAGAAATTGCTAGTGAATTTCACAATTAATGTTAAAGAAATGGAAAGTAACACACTGAATGAAACCAGAAGCTCTAACATAGAAATAGTGAAATAGCATTTTCTTGTAAAATGTACTCCAATAACCTTTGCATTATTTACAACTATGAAAGGTTTAAGGCATACAAAACTATGGAACACAAAAAATGTGTATTTAGAATAAAGGCTTCCATGTATTTTAGTCCATACAATAAAAATCAATGGGATCCAAAAGCAACATCCCACTGGACCCATTGACTCTTACAGTATGGACAAAAAATAGACATTTTTTAAAATATCTTGTTTTGTGTGCCACAAAAAAAAGAAAATCATGCAGGTTTGGAACAACATTAATTGATAACACAATTTTCATTTTTTGGTGAGCTATCCATTTAAGAACTTGATGCTGCACTAGCAGCATTTCTTCAGCAGGATTCCCATATGACAATGTGGGGGAAATACTCTTTTTTCCTCCCTGCATTGCAGTGGCAGTGTGACGGTGAGAGTGAATGTGTGTACTTGTTGTGAGTGTGTGACAGAAGAGAGGGAATACTATCTCTGTGGCTCTCTTTCTCCCTCTCTGAGGGAGAATATTCATTTTTGGGTGAACCGTTTAAAGTCCCCCCGCAGTCAATAACAGTATCCCTCAAAAACACATTTTTGATAATCAAAATGACATATTTAAAGATTTTTTCTTTTGAAAAAAATCTCTTCCTGCCTTAAAATGGCTTGAATATAATTCTACACCCTTACCTCATTTAATATACACAGAATCATGAATATGCAAATTAGTCCCCGCCTCTACTCAATCACAGCATCTCAGACTTCCTGCCCCGTTAACTGAAGCAATAAACGCTACACAATGGCAAATGGCAATACTGGGTTAATCAGCCATATATGTTTGAACCAGAGACTGAACCAGAGAAGAAGAGGAAGAGGGAATTATACAGAATCATCTGTAGTAGAATGTTTATGCATTGTATATGCATTGTATCTCTCTAACGTCGGACACATAACAGTAATTGATATCATTAGCCTTTAGCTTGACTACATTATCAAACAGCTAATAATGTGTTGCTAATGTGGCACAAGCCATGTTTCCGTTTGCCATCTCAGACAGCTGACTTCTAAAAACCAACATCCTTAGGTAGTAGACTGAGATACACTGCAGTTTTAAGGAGAAAATGCTCCGCAATGGTATTGACTGATGAATTTGGACTTGGTTGGCCTTAAAGCATATTAAAAACACCAAGCAGACATGTAAACATTAAAAACTTGATTTTCACTGCAGGGGGGTCTATCTAATCTTTATCTATTTTTCATGCTGTAAATTATAATACTTTGATGCCTGAATTGAAATATTTTAGTTAAAATTTTTTCAGACAAAAATAATTTTAAGATCAACAATTTCTCAGGTAAATACAGGTGAACCTGTGCTTCATGAAGTAAACGTCACTGGTAATGGGGCTGCTCATGCAGTCAAGGTCAAAGGCCATGGTGGGGTGAGAGAGATCAAGATGAAATGGCTATGAATTGCCTTCTAGCAGGATTCCTGCTGCCCAACTACCCACTGAGAAGATGACACGACTGCCCTCCTCGTCTCGAAACCCCCACCCCGGGGCAGTCCTCTCCTCTCTCCATGAGGCCTCACGGTGGCCTTTTGCTTTGAAGGCAGCATGGTCAGACAGGTGAACTAACCTCCCGGCCCCCGCACACAATCTTGAGAGACACAGCATGCACCATGGCAACCAGTGCATCCACAGATAACTAAAGGTTCCTTCACACTTCTCCAACAAATACCAACATTTCAAACACTATTGGAATAAAAATGCATGATGACATGCTACAGTATGCTCCATCTAAATGGATTTTTTTTTTGTTAATCAGCAAAAATGAATTTAATTGACAGAAAAGACGTATAAAATGCTACAAAGGATTTCTAATATAAATGAACTCTTTTCTCTTCATTAAAATGTCGTGAAAAAGCATGGTTTCCACAATTTTCAACATACCAATAAGAAATATTTATTTAGTGCCAAATTAGCACATTTAAATATTTGAAGGATCATGTGACACTGAATATTAGAGTAAGGGCTTCTGAAAATTCAGCTTTGCTATGACAGTAATAAATCACATGCCAGGACATTATCCATTAATTTTATGGACGTTTCGTTTAACTCTAAACAACACAATGCAGAGCATTAACACATGTAAAAAAAAAAAAATGGGGGAAATTATTTTTTTATATATATTTTTTAATATATTAAAAAAAAAAATACAGTGAGCATTAAAGACTTCTTTCAAAAACATTAAATAAATCATACTGACCTCAAACAATAGTGTATTTTATTATGAATTCAGGAAGCTTTATGATCTCATATAAAAGATTACAAGCTATATTTGTATTTATAAAAATACATTTTCACACTGTAGAACCATTTAAAGTAAACTAGCAAAGGTAAAAAAAAGAAAATGGTGAACAAAACAAATACCAACTTTCCTTTGTGATGTAGTGGTGTGTGGTGGTGTGTGGTGTGGTGTGGTGTAGGGCTGCACGATAAATATCGCACGATATTTAATGCGCATCTCGTCAGTAAAGCCGGTTCTGTAATCAGCGGTAAATCTCTACACGTGCATGCTTTCACGTGGAGCAGCATTTACTACACAGAGACGTTGTTCACAGACAAGCTGCGCAAAACCACGATCATATTTTGCACATGTTTTGCGCAGCTTGTCTGTGAACAACGGCTCTGTGTAGTAAATGCTGCTCCACGTGAAAGCACGCAAGTGTAGAGATTTACCGCTGATTACAGAACCGGCTTTACTGACGAGATGCGTATTAAATATCGTGCGATATTTATCGTGCAGGTGTGGTGTGGTGTGGTGTGGTGTGATGTGATGTGATGTGATGTGATGTGATGTGATGTGATGTGATGTGATGTGATGTGATGTGATGTGATGTGATGTGATGTGATGTGATGTGATGTGATGTGATGTGATGTGATGTGATGTGATGTGATGTGATGTGATGTATATAATATAATATAATAAAATATAATATTCAAGACAATTAGACTTAAATAAGTCTAAGCGACGTAAACAAAACAACATAACTGCTGCAAAGTCTTCTGGTCCAGCTCACTTTCTCACAAGGAGAAGGACACAGCTAGAGAAGCCTGTGCCATGCCTTTATGTAACACTTTATTTTAGCCTAATTAGATCTGCTCCTGAGCTCCTGTCATACTTTGCGGCCTGTGGTGTGTGTAGACATTTCACACTTCAGAAGGAGTTTGTAGAAAGCCTTTGCAAGTGTGATAATTTGGAGGCTACCCAAGCAATCTTGAATGCACAGTAGTTTTGAACTAGGTTACCATGAGGACAGATACACAGTTAGAGAGCGCTCACAGCACATAAAAACAGATAAGAGTCCCTGTATGGTAAAAACTGCATAAATATTCTGTCACTTCGATACACACAGAAACACACATCCTTGAATGTGCTGTGCACATGAACATTTTCTGGCAGTTGTAACCGTAAAAAGCTACCTTTCCGTAAAAAAAAAACGTAAAGCTCACCTTTAAAGCTAAAAACAGCTTTAAATTAATAAATTTCACACTGTAAGAGTAGAGACTGATAACATTACTTGAAGGACGATGAGAGAGCATGAAAATTAAGAGAGAACAACAGAGAGGGAGAGCGGATGGGGGACTGAAAGAGTGTATATGGACACAGTGGCAAGTTCATCAGTATTATAACACAGCGTGTGATTAATTACAGGAGTGACAACTGCATTGTACAAACAAATGTACTATTGCTAAGGTCTGATTCTCAGATTTGTCTTCTGTGAAAAAGATCCAAGCAACCTCACGTCACCACTAGAATTTTTGAAGAAATCTCAGTAATGTCTCGAACAATGTTCAAATACAAAAATCAAAACACAAAACTCAAATAATTCTTATTTCTCAAAAACACCAAATGCTACCCAAATGAAATGGCTCTATAATCTTACTGTATGCCAACAATTGTCTTATTTGTTACCAGAGTTGGGCAAGTTACTTCCAAAATGTAATACATTATATATTACTAGTTACTGTCTTTTGAAAGTAATTAGTTACATACACTTTTCTTAAAATCTGGAGTCGGTAAGTTTTTTATGTTTTTGAAAGAAGTCTCTTATGTTCACCAAGGCTACATTTATCTGATTAAAAACACAGTAAAAATATTTTGAAATATTACAGTTTTAAAAAACTGTTTTCTTTTAAAATATATTTTAAAATGTAATTTATTTCTTTGATGGCAAAGCTGAATTTTCAGTAGCAATTACTCAGTGTCACATGATCCTACAAAAATCGTTATAATATAATGATTTGCTGCTTATAAAACCCCAACTGTGCTGCTTATTATTTTAGTGGAAACAGTGATCCATTTTTTCAGTGTTCTTTGATGAAATGATGCCAAAGATAAAGCATGAAGAGAAAGACTCTCACTCTCATAGCTCTCCTGTCATTCTGGGATTACTGTAATCCTCAGAGAGAGAGACCAGCATCACCACGTGAGAATGAATCTTTTCAACTAAAGCCCTGAAAGCAGAGATGTCAAAGGACGTTAGAGTCCCTCTGAAGGAGCAACAATAAATATTGAATGCCACACAACAGCAACACAGACATGAAGAGCCATTCAGTGATATACAGTGAACATTAGATTGAGGATTTCCAGGAAATCATAAATTCAAATCCCACCAGCAGCTAGAGTTCACCACAAAGCATTCATCCAGAGACTTTCCATTAAAACAGTATTTGTGTGTGAGAGAGAGAATAAGGCAAACAGATAGGGGGAGAGAGAGAGAGAGAGAGAGAGAGAGAGAGAGAGAGAGACATAAAGCATGAGGGAAAAATAAAGATGCTTTAGTGTGAGGGTGTGTTATTTGTTTATAGAGAGTGTATGTGGCTTTTGGCTCAATCATAATTGATGGAGGAAAAACCTAATTGTGACCAACACTGCATTGGCAAAATAGAGCTGCCTAATCGAATTGAGAAACAGGGCTCTACTGCACTTAACGTTGCTTCTACTCTGGATATGCATAAGCTGTAGGTGAACAGATTCCAACCTGTAGGACAGAAATTATTTTATGAGGCTTTCAATGGTTTAGGAAAGCCCATTTATTTCAAAAGAGCCCACCTAATAGCTATAAGAGGCATCCCATGAATAATTTTAAATGGATGCTGTTTGTTTGCTTCGCATATAAGCATTAAATGGATACTGTATGCTTTGTATTGGCTCCAAATTGTTTAAATTTATGTGTGCAGCCAAACAAGATCATGAATTCTAAAGGTGAACAATTAGTTTAGTGGGCTACATGAAATTTACATCCCTTTCTATTGAGACAAGAGTAAAACGGATGATCTGAACTGAACTGACCAAGTGCAAATGATAGGAAGAATACTTAACTACTTGCAAGGAATAGGTATATTTAAAGCAATAATTAATAATTATTATTATTTTAACTTGTTCATTTTAATTAATTCTGATCAACTAATTAAAGAGTTATAATTTACCACCTAATGTTTTTTTAAATATCCCATAGGTTGTATGATAATACGTTTATGGGTAATTCATACTGAATTAAATTGAAATATACAGTATATTATTTTATAAAAGGAAAAAAATAACCTAAATAATTTGAATTAATTAAATTCAAGCTAAATTCAAATTTGAACACATCCTTTCTCACCACATCCTCTTTGTTACTTTAATTCAATTACATTTTACTTTACTTAAATTAATTTCTGAATATACGGCATTCTCAAATAAATAAATAAATAAACAGTTCCTCCATTTTACCATTAATGACTATGTCATCTTTAGCAAAACCCCTGGCCAGGAATTTACTTTAAAGAAATATTTTTAAGACACTTTTTAAGAATCCTGAAAAAGTTTACTTGCATGTGTACAACAGAGTTCCAAAAAATTCCCACGCTGTTTGGACTAATTTGATGGCTCTGATTTCAGACTCACCCTGACAGCACCCCCAGAACCAAGTTGAGCATGAAGAAAGAGCCGATGATGATGAGTGGGATGAAGTAGAGCCAGTTCCAGGTGTTCCCTGAGGCATCATTGGCCTGCAAAGAGACAGAAGTAATGAGAGCAGAAACTGAGAAGGAACAGAGGTACAGAGAGAAATAAACATCAGAAGAACCTGGAGGAGACCAAATCTCCACAGGCTTCTCTTGAACCCCCTATCCTTCAATAACAGCCCCTGTAATAATCTCTTTAACACATTTCACAATAACACATCCATACCTATACAGCCATAATTGTTGTCCAAGTAATTGCTTTTTGCAGAGATCCCAGGGTCTTTGCAAAGGTAAAAAAGAATGTGAAATGCAATCTACTGGTCATCGCTCTGTAAAGAAGATCGTTTTAGACTAGTGAGTGAAACTGACAGAGTTTCTCTTTGATTCACCAGCATATACAACACCGGGCCGTACACAAAGTGTTTATGAGGCATGCTAAGAGAAGATTTCTCCTAGCGCCCATTTATTCGCAAATTGCTCTAACATATTGGTTGTGATTGTTAGGGGATCATGGAGAATGCTGATTCAGCAGACACATACAGATCCTTAAACCCCCTCTACTCTCTTACACAGCTGTTTCTAAGGCAACTGGCTCGTCGTGCCTACCTCTGTCCCTTTATCTTACTTGCTTTAGCTTTAAAATTGCATTTTTGGCAAGAGCAGTAAAGCAGTAGGAGCCAAATTCCATTGTTGCATCTCCACTCCTCTGAGTATTAAATTTATTACAGCACTGTAGGGAATTTGTGTGACTGACTTTTTCTTAATTATAATTTATTTATTACTGCTAAAGTCTATATCGGTTACTGTTTCATGCATCCAAATGAAAGATGACAGAACAATAGTATCTCTTTAGCCAAATATTTTTGTTTTAAAATGAACAGATTCTAAACCAAGTCCAGTGCAGGGTGGGTTGCCAAATATTGCCACCCTTGTGGTCTGAAAGGAATTGTAGTGATTCATCTTTTAAAACTGGATGAATGCCATCTGACATCAGGAAAAAAAGGAGACGGCACTGAAACAGTTTCATCTCATTCGGAGGGTGGGAGAAACAATGGTGGATCGCCTACACTTCCTCTAAAGCCTGAAAATTGTCTTGACATACTAAATGAATATGTGTTCAGTAGCCAAAATGCATGACATTGTCTCAGTGGTCTGGTGGGTTAGATGTTTTCTGTAGCCCTTGCATCACAGGTTTGTGTTTTCTCGAGTGATATGGGGATTGACGGAATGCTGAATACAGTCTTCACAAGATTACCACACTAATGACAAGAGCATCTGCTAACCAGACATGAGAGGCAGTATAATGGTTAACAATTTAACCTGGGCCAATTATCCAGTGCTTCCATTCCAACTTCCTTACCACATTTTGTGAGGTGTGAATACATCTGCTCTTAAAATGGTAAACAATACACAAATTAGGGCTGGAAAATATGACCAACAAAAGCATGCAGTCTGAGAAAATCAGGTACAGCAAATACATTTGAATAGGCCCTGCACATAAACTAGAAGCACAAAAAAAATCGGAATTTCTGTGAAATGTGAGCATATCTAAGCAAGATGTGGAATCTGTGGATAATAAAACTGTGATGAATGTGGTAATCGAGTTCTCAGCAATGCACTGGGGCATGAATAAATAAAGCTATGCTACTATTTATTGTTTTGCTGCCTACATTTATGCTGCTGTTGTGTTTGTTGACTTCTTCAACTACTTGTCATGTGGAAAAATCACAACTGTTCTTTCACCATTCACCGTACATCTGCAAAATGGCCAGTAGCTAATACTGTGGCTCCTCTATCCTTTACACACTTTTCCAGACATTTATGTGTAAATAAAACAAAAATCAACGAGAATGGCCTATAATAAATTCAGAAACCGCATATGAACACAGAGGCTGTAATCAAATTCCTGTGAGTGTGCTTCTCATCCCACTAAAGACAATTAGAGATTTGATTCATTTCCTATGACTGCACTATCATTAACGAGACACAGCAGAACCTAAAGGGACAAATCAATTGAGCAAAATCTTTCTCTTAGTTGGAATTATTGTTTTTATTAATGTCTATTTCTTACCCTTAACGTTAATTAGTGAGACAGAGCCTGTGTTGGGTGTGATCACATTTAGCATTGTTATGGAAATTTTCTCAAGGGAAACCCAGTATTTTCAATAAGAATTTCACAGGATTGGAAATTTTGCAAAGCAAAAAAATAAATAAATAAATAAAACACAAAGCAAAAATGTCATTAAACAGATAAACTTATGCTACCATATTGGCTAAAATCAAGTAAAAACAATAATAGTTTAAAATATTATTACAGTTTCTATGATAATATATTTTAAAATGTAATTTTAAAAGCTAAATTTTCAGTAGCCATTACTCTAGTCTTCAGTGTCACACGATCTTTCATTCTAATAGGCCTATGCTGATTGGGTGCATAATATTTCTTCTTATCAATGTTGAAAACAGGTGCTTAATATTTTTGTAGAAATCTTAATACATTTCTTTCTCTTACTTTCCATGAACTGAAAGCTCAAAAGAACAGCACTTATTTGAAAAAACAAATTTCTGTTACATAAAAAATGTCCTTACTGTCACCTTTAATCACTTTAATGCATCCTTGCTGAATAAATGTATGATTTGTTTTTTGTTTGTTTGTTTGCTTTTCACTGACCAAATCTACGTATGCCATTCAATGTTGAATCAATATAACAGTCTGTGTATGTAAATATGTATTATTTTACTAAGTATTTGACTATATTTTTTGATGCTTAGAGTAATCACATCATTAGCTTAGCAACATGCTAACACCAAACTGTTGAAATCAATTTAAAATCAAATATCCTGTGCGGAATGCAATTGGTGGGGTGTACTTACTTTCTGCTTACTGTATATAAATTGTTCCAAATCAGTCAATTATAAGTTTCAATTACCTTTTAATATGCTCTTTTAGAAGGTAGCTGACTACGTAGGCAGTAGGAAGTGATGAAGTTTTGGAACAGAGCTGCTTATACAGTGTGTCTACAGAGAATTGAAGAGCACAGAGGATGAGGAAGAACGGATACTAGCCTCTAATTTTCCACTGACGTAAAGTTCTAGTGTCTGGGATAATCAGATTATCTCTATGAGAGCCATGGTCTGGATGGCAGAATCTAGGAACATTCATCTGTCATTAGACCTCTCATCAAGGACCCCGGAGGACTGAAAGCCCAGTGTGCAGAAGAACACTTAAGGAGGATGTCATCTTATAGGAGGAGAGAAACAGTGTGCTATTGCTCGAGGGAGCAGCCATCCAGCGGTCATTACGCTCATAATTGCCAACAGACTGTAAAACAGTCTACATTCTGTCTGATGCCAAAACTATAAAACAAAATGACTATTTTACTAACTTGTCCAAAATTGTGGCTTATTAAATAATGCAATCTACAAGAGAAATCCGCAAATCTCTAAAAAAAAAAAAAACTAAATAAATTTCACTCCCAACCTCACACGTACTGGGAGATTGAGTGCAGTACGAATGAAGGGGTTTATTTTATAGGTGAATGTTCTTCCAGTAAACCACAAGACCAGACAGGACTTGGCACACACCTGTGGATCCAAACATGATCCATCTTTGCTCCCTGCGGGGCTACTTTTAAACATTTAACAGCAGATTGATCAATAGGGCTATCGTACTAACAATGCTGAATGCCAGGGAACATGGTCACCATATACCACACAGATCACCCTGTCGACTGAGTGACTGTACAGCGTCACACAGCCACCTGGTAGATGCTACTGTTTAGAGTGCTACAGAGATACACAATATGACATAAATAACACAATGTCACACAAACAAAGTCAAACAGTGATGGGGAAAACCAGAAATACAATGTCCTTGGATTCAAACTTAGGACCACATTCACAAACATCTGAAAAAAATGTTAAAAGTTTTTTGCATAAAATATTAGTCTATAATAAAGTGCAATACTTGAAAATGTAAACATAAAATATCTGCTTAATATATATATATACAGAGGCGGACAGTAACTAAGTACATTTACTTGAGTATTGTACTTAAGTACACTTTTTGAGTATCTGTACTTTACTTGAGTATTATTTTTTCTGGGAACTTATGACTTTAACTTCACTACATTTGAAAGACAAATAAATTACTTTTCACTCCACTACATTTCTATCAAGGTCCTCAAAGTACCAAGCAATGCTTAATTTAGTTCAGTCTGTGGTGTAAAAAGGTCGCATTAGCAATAAAAAAAAATACTTAAGCAAAACATGGTCAGGTCAAAGTGTCTGAATAATTTTTGGTCCTACATTTTTATAAGTTTTACTGGTAGTCCACTGTATGAAGAATTTTTGGGTATAATGTCACATTTTACTTTATTTTGCTATACTCATTTACATAAAAGGACTATAGTATAAAAAATTATCAAAAATTATATAATGGAAAGATGGAAAATATATTATTCCATCTTTTAATTATTTATGTTACAGTCAGAAAATAAGAAGCAAATTGTATTCTTAAGAATATTTCATGAATCTGGCCCCTGGTCTAAAACTGTAGTGTGTGAAATTAACATAAGTGGTTATGAAATAACCAGAGAATTCTAAAAAATTCATTGCACATGCCCCAGAAATAACTGGATGTCTGAGTTGAATATTCCAGAGATATTACACCATTTCTCTGGCTACTCTTGCAAATGAGCTGCACACTGATTGGAGCCTATCAGAGCTCTATTAGAAATTAGAAAATGAGGAACCGAGGGGAAGCAAACTGATCTCCGGAGAGAAGCCACTGATTTGATACATATATTCTGCTTTCCAGCCTGGACTCTGTAGCGAGGAGACCTAATTAGAGAGGAGACAGCCAACGTTAGCACGCACAATTGCTCTTTAAGAACCAATGAGAACTTGCAGTGTCTGAAAAGAACAAGCACAGTAGTAGTATGTTCATGCAATCATCTGCTTAGCAAAATGAGGGTGTGTGACTGTTTAGTGATTTGATGTTACAGAAATATAAATTGATGTGATTTTTTGCATTAAGA